AGAGAGAGAGAGAGAGAGAGAGAGAGAGAACGAGTGCGAGACAGAACTCGACAAAAATATAGGAAGAGAGAGAGAGAGAAACTTTACGTATACACGCATGCAAAAAATATACACATACATACACAGGTAAATAGGATCCGTTCACAAAGCATATCGCGGGGGACAAACAAAAGTGCGTTCAAGAAAAGAGATTCGCCGAAATCATATTGCATCATTTTTATTATTGTATGTGATTTTCTTCGATATTAAGTCTTCAAAAAACTGAATTTTAAACTCTCTATCTTTGATAATTTTGTACACAATTATCTAGTTATCGAGGACAATACAATATACTATCTTTAGATAAGAAAGATGTGGTATTTATTTAGTTATGTTGCAAAAATAATATATTTTGTTTAGAATCATATGTGAAATAAAGCTTCAAGTTCTTTTTATTCTTTTCATTTGAATGCATCATATATATATATTTCTATATACGTAATAACATAAGATGCACAGAATTAATATATCCTGCACAGAATTAATGAATGAATATAGTGTCGGTATGAGTTATATATATATATATATATATATTATGTACATATAATAATAATAATTAGAATCATGTAATAATTTTTTTTTTAAATATGCTGGTACTTCGATCGATCCTGTAATTCAATCAAGTTTTATAAATAATATTTCGTTGGCAAATTCTATATAAATAATTAACACGACAAAGAGAGAGAGAAATATTTCCAACTTTCTCCAGAGAATACCATATACTACTATACACATTTCTCTCTCATAATCAAGCTAGGTCATGATTATTACTCACAATTTTTACACATTCTTAGATTTACATTGTTATTCACCGATATAAATACAACTTTCGCCAATCTTACCGTATCCTAAACGCATGTATCGGTGATACGAGATACGTAGTGATGACATTTTGTGGCATCGGGATTTTCATCGATTATACGCTTTTAATAGCAAAGGTATACGCACCGTTCACAGGGTACGATGCGTGGAACAAGCAGAGGAGAGCCAGGGCGAGGAAACTCGCCATGCCGCCGTCGCGGACGCCTCTCATCTTCCCTGAGCTTCCGCCGCAGCCGGTGGTCCGCCGTGATGATCGTGCTGTCCGTCGTCGCGGATCCGCGAGGAATCGTCGTCCTCGCGGTTCTCGATCGCGGCGACGACGACCGCCGATGTCGATCGTCGCGGCTCAACGCCGATCGTGACGGAGTCGCGCGCGTGACTCGCGGGCGGCGACGACGACCGCTGACGTCGATCGCGGTATCATCCTCCTCCGGCGATCGCCGTCCGGGGATGAGGCGAGGAGTCGCCCCGCCGACGAGACACTTGTCACCGCGGTTGTTGCCACTGTCGGTGCCGCTGACGCGCGGCGCTCACTCGCATAAGAGCCACTTCCGAGATCGAACGCGGTTTCTAACCGCACCGCATGCACTCACGCACACCGGCTCTTATCGCGCTCAACGTCCTCCGTTTTTCTACGAGCGTTATTTTCCAAGCGTACGAGCCGTACACGCCGTCTGTTCACATCGCCTGGAGCGAACGTTGGTCCAGATAAATCCGCGACACTTTTACGGATCGAAGAGCACCGCGAGAATTATCTCACCGGACAGACGAAAAGAATGACGATTCCAGGGATGCCGGGTGGTTGTTTCGCGGCGATTCTTCAGATACTTGTCGCCGTAGTGCGACGTCTCCGTCGCGGAAGATGCGCCGCCATTTTCCTACCGACAGGCCCGGTCTATTGCCCTCCGACGAGCACGCTGAGAAGCCGCTCGCAACACCAAAGGAATATATATATTTTCACTGGTAGAGCCCACGAAAAGAATATCGCTGGTAATCGTGCGTCGTCACGATTCGATCTCGCGGATACGACCTCTCGCCACGTATCATCGTTCTCGTCGTTGGCACTAGTCCCGTAATTTTGGCATAATCTCGACTCGTCACGTATTTCGCTCGCTAAAACGACCTTACACGCTGACCATCGAACAGCGACTGATACTACTGCTACTGCTGCGCTACTCGCTACTGCCGCTGCCCCCTCAACCTTCAGCCGATAGCACTTCGCGAAATATGTCGCTGCCTTCTTTTCAGGGTCGTATATAGCTGCCTGTACACCAGAGTTGTATCGTAGATTTCAAAATTACATTTATATACATGTATTATTTACATGTGATGTTCACAGATTTTTTCATGTAAACTATGTAAAATATTATTAATTAATGTATATAATATATATAATAATAATATTTATATATAATGCAATATAATATTTATTGTCTTTTTTTATCAATATAAAATTCAGCTCGTTGAATCTTTTGTTGATTGTACGTGGCATCGCAAAATATTAAAATTGTATTATTTTATATTTAAACCATATATAAACACGAATGAAACATCTTAGGTAATCGATGTTTCATAGATTATTTATTGTTGATATAAATGATATGTTAAACATAGTTTACATTGTCTACGGATAGACATAAAATATTATATTTTACGCATAAATGCTCAATCTTGGTTAACATTACTATCTCATCTTTAGAATGTTTTTTATGAGCGCACACACATGTTAAAAACCGAGATATAACACGGAAGTTTTAAAACAATTTTTTACAATAAAAAAGAAAGAAAAGAGAATAATAACTAACGATTAAATTAAAGGAACAATTTAATTTTTTTGTTTTGGTAAATAATTGTATTTGGTAAATTGTTTAGTTATATCTTTTTATGGATTTGATTCCGACAATACAAGCTGCATAAAGATTGAAATGAATGCTATATATATTTGGCTACGTATAGTTTTACATTACACTCAATTTGCAAAGTAAAATAATAAAAAAACTAAAAAGTAATTAGAGAGAAATCTCACAGAGTTAATAGCATTAATTAATACTTTATATATAAAATTAGTTTAATTAAATGTAAGTTTTTTTTAAATATAATTTCCAAAAATTCTTTCAATTATTATTTTATTATGTTTTGTGTTATCGCATGTATATGTATACGTGCTTTACATCGATAGTAAGGAGTAACTAAAATTTGATACACTATTGCAAGGCTATTTGCGCATGCGATATATACTTTTAGTTCTATTAGTATCAAAATTTCACAATTTACAAGGTAAAATAATTTGACGTAATTTTCATTTCACATTACCAAGAATATTATTGCAGATTGTCTTACGAAACAAAATCTAGAAGTATTATTATTTTTTAAATATTACATTGTGTATGCGCGCGTTTGCAAAAAATATAAAATATAAAGCATATATGTCCAGAACCAACTCTTTTTCTTAATTTTTCTTAAACAAGGATTTATAGCTGGATGTTATTTTTCTCACAATCTTTTTCAGGAATATTTAACAGATTCCATAATATGCACGAAAACAATCATCAGACATATAAACACATACTTTTTATAAATATTTATTTATAAACTTTTTATGATGTATACTTATAAACTATACGCATTATGTAGTTCGATGTAATTTACATCCGCGCATAAGTATGAATATATCATTAAAACAATGTCACAATTTTGTAGAAATAGTAACTCGCTAATTACTATAATAAAACATGTTTATTAATCACAAAGTAATTTTATTAATTTTTAATAATATATACAAAATGTTACTCTCTATTACGACGCATATTATAAATAAATAACATTAAGATATTATCATCTGATTTCTGTAAGAAATGTTTCTTAAATATAAATTCTTTCTAAATTTTATTCGAAATATTTTTGATAATGAGATAAATGTATAAAATGTATAAAACATTTTAAAACATTTTAAAATTATCGATCTTTTAAATTCATCATCCTCTAAAAGCTATATGATATATGTATTTTTTTTTCTTCAAAGATTAACTGTACTGAAAGCGATAGAATAAATAAATAAGTGCAAAAATTCGTGAGAGTAATAAAATCAAATAAAAATTTATTTTATAACAATATTTTTTTATTGAACATCATTGCCGATATACGTTGAGGCGAAGGGAGAGTTGTGTACGAGATTATCTTATATTTATATAACAGATAATTCTCAGAGTTGTGCGCGCGCGAGAAAGATTATCCTATAATATTTATATAATAGATAATACAAACAAGCTCTGCCTTCTACCACTTGCCAAGACTGCTGGCCTATATTAATGTGCCTAGAAAAATCTGAATAATCATCTCTGCTTAGAAAGATATCACAAAAATAAAACTTTCATACATATTATTGGTAATATATGATCAAATAAACTCGTAATTTATATACGTGATAAAAAATGCAATATATTTTTTTTTCAATAATTTATCAATAAAACACTTAGAGTTTTAAGATAAAAGTTATATGATGCGTTATTTAAAATAATAATAACATAGGCCTTATGAAGAAAGTTTAATCTCATAAAAGATTAAAAGACACTCATAATAAATAAAAATAGATGATAAAACATTTTTTTTTTCGGTATCTTTTATAAAATACATTTCTGGAAAAATGTAATTTATTCCGTAACTTCCTTTTCCTAGCCGCCTATATCGGTTACAGGAAATTGATCCAAACGTACATATTAACATAAAATAAATGTCATATGTAAAATCGCATGTTATATTGCGCTGCTCAGTCAATTACTTATACGTTCATCAGAAGATAAACGTACACATCAAAATAGTTAGATTCTACATCTTATATTCTATAAATGCATTCATATATCTAGATTAATTCAACAAGATCCTTGTAATTGTAAATATGTTGTATCAAATTGGAAGTATTGCTTATAAATTGGTCTATTTTTTTTTTTTTAAATTTGCGTTTGACTACCCCACACTCTCGAAATCGCGGATCTCGTGAGTTTTTTACCAATAGTCTGAACAACAAAACCGATCCTTTGTAATCGATCGTGATCTAAAATCTTCCTTCCATCAAAAATGTATGCTGGTTTCATCATGCCTGCATAAATCTGTGTGTAGTTCAACTCCTAAGAATGGAACATTAGATAATAAAAAATAGTGACTAATTTTTTTACACAAGTATTATATTGGCATAATATTGAACGTGATTTCAAGGAAAAATTAATCAATTACATCAATGGTAAATTTCGAATTATTCGGATTGGATTAAATTGGGTTAAATTAATAATATATAAATATTCTTATTAGCTAGAGAAGATAATTCTTATTTTGTCAATTAATCAAAAGTTCCATTCCATTATTATAAATTATCAAAAGATGATACTCACAATAAATTCGTCCCATTCGGTGCACAAAACTATCGCATGTGTATTTTTCGTAGCGCTATAAGCATCCTTATAAATACTGATTCGACTTTTTATGTCTTCGGGATTGCTCGTTACACTCGGATGAGTCAAGTCTTGGATGATTTGAGTTTCCTCGACCTACATATTAGAAAGGCGTAATGTATTCATTGACTAATAAAACGCCTTTTAATTTTGCTATTTTATATAAAAATTACGTTATTTAATAGAGAAATAGTATTAAAAATACTACAGATTGTTTTTTTTTAAACAAAACATAATTTGTATATAAAATTTTGTTTAATATATAATAATGCTAATAAATAAAATAATGTCTTTTTAATGAAAATTTAGATTTATATCATATTTTAATTATAATAGTAAACGCGCATAAAAAATTTGGAACTCCTTTTCCAAATAAAGTTTTGGAAATATAATTAAATAACACGCAGGAAATAATGTTTTTTTTTAGAATTTAATGTAAAGCATAATATGAACAAAATATTATAATAAACATAGAAAATTGTGACTTATGATAGCTTGCAATTAAATTCATTCTGTTCCTGAAGCATACCGAATATACATAACATTAGGAAAAAGGAGCTAACCTTGGGATCATAAATATGAAGAACAGCGCCTTCGTCCAGCAACGTCTTGGCGACGTGAATCGCTGGTGATTCACGCGTATCTCCTGTATTTTTCTTGAAGGCAAAGCCTAGCATGGCAATCCTTTTATCCGTCACGGTATTGAAAAGGGATTCTATGACCTTCGCGGAAAACCTTGACTTCTGATATTCGTTCATATTGATCACCTGTTGCCAATACGCCGCCACCTCAGGCAAATTTAGACACTCGCAAATGTACACCAGATTTAGAATGTCTTTTTGAAAGCAGGAACCGCCGAAACCGACCGATGCGTGAAGGAACTTGGAACCGATTCGTGAATCAAGTCCGACGGCTCGAGCAACCTCAGACACATCGGCACCCGTGGATTCGCATACGGCCGACAAAGAATTTATGCTGGATATTCGTTGTGCCAGGAAAGCGTTTGCAGCCTCAAATCAAAGAGGACCAAATTCGTTTATCGAAATGTGATTTATTTATTGTCACAAGTTTTTATTTTATTTCTTAGAATCGCCCAAATCTAATTTTATTAATAAGTTGTAATGGTTTATTAATAATTCGTAAAAATTTATTAATAAATTGTAATATAGACGTTGAGCGCTTGTAATTGAGTCACGAAATTAATAACTCAAAAAAATTATATATGAGTAATATTGTAATAATATTAAATTATATTCACACACACAACATTTCCAGTTTAAATTAAAACTCTTAATTTATGTTAATAAATTATTGTTTCCTTCTCATACTACAAATTACAATATGTAGATATTAACTGTAATTAAAATTTTAATACGCAAAATATATGTCACTTCAATAAAGTAATCGAAAGTTTAATTTAAAATAACAATTTTTATGTATTGAATTTAATCTACTTATTGTTAGTGGCGGATTTTTCATTACACATAGTAAGTGCGTATCAAAGGCTTCATTGCAAATCAAGTCTCTAAATCAAGTTGTATCTAAGTATATCAAAGTACCATTTAAAGTTATTGTTAAATTTGTCTACATCTGCAGATAATGTATTACAATAAAATCTGATTTATTTATTAAAATAACTATTTAAAACTGATTACTTATAATAACATTTTGTGTGTGTGCTCTATTACGACTAAAACACAAAGTAAATTTAGTA